CGTTTTTTTTTCTCTATCTGATCAAAGAGGACGTGTGCGAAAAAAGTAGTGTGTTTTATTTATTGAGGACTGAAAAATTGTTGGATATTTTGGAAGGTTAGTTCATGCATCTTAACACTAGAGGGCCAAACAACCCTTTTTGTAAAGTCTTTAAAAAAATAAATTCATATTCATAATGCAGATTCTCCTAATATTATGTGAAATTTGTTTACATATACAGTTGAAGTCAGAATTATTAGCCCCCCCTGAATTACTATCACCCGTTTATTTTTTTTCCCCCAATTTCGTTTTAATGGAGGGAAGATTGTTTCAACCCATTTCTAAACTTAATAGTTTTAATAACTCATTTCTAATAACTGATTTATTTTATCTTTTCCATGATGACAGTAAATAATATTTGACTAGATATATGTATGTATATATATATATATATATATATATGAAATCAGAATGTTTAGCTAATTTATTTTTCGATAGTCTACAGAACTATCTTAATAACTGTATTTAACTGGAGAGCGAAAATGATGGAGAGGGTTGGGGCGAATGCCTTGAACACAGAGATCGTAATTTCTAATTTGACGTAACCTGTTACCTTTTATTGCTGAGCCACAAAAAAGCAAACTGAAATTAAATGTTTCAATTAAATGCAGTAAATGAATCAGATTTTTTAAAATGTAAATACTGTCACTGATGACAGATGGAGGACTATGCAGAAGACATCTGCAAGCAAATCAAGACAAAAGTAGCGGAATTCTGTCGAAAATTATTCTTTTGTTTATACTATAATTTTTATCCTAAAATGAAAAAAAGACTGTATTAGTTAAAATAAAGCAATGTTTTCTAGTCATTTTTATTTAACTATGGCTCATTAACCTCAATTAAGTTTTTTTTTTAGCCCTTCATAATAATATGTTTGGGCACCCATGAGATGAATATATATATATATATATATAGTAGGTACGAAAAGTATTCAGACCACCTTATATTTTTCACAGTTTTATTGCTGCCATTTGCTAAATTATTTAAGTTCATTTTTAAGTAATTAATGAACACACAGAATCCTTTAATGACAGAAAAACACAGAATTGATGACATTTTTGCTGATTTATTAAAAAAGAAAAACTGAAATATCACATGATCATAAGTATTCAGACCCTTTGCTGTGACACTCATGTTTAACATAATGGTGCTGTCCATTATGGATCATTCCACTCCTCCATTTGAGTCCAGCTGTGTTTGATAATACTGATTAGACTTGATTAAGGAAGCCACACACCTGTCTATATCAGACCTCATAGCTCGCAATGCATGTCAGAGCAGATGAGAATCATAAGGTTTAAGGAAGTACCTGAAGAGCTCAGAGACAGAATTGTGGCAGTGCACAGATCTGGCCAATGTTACAAAACATTTCTGCTGCATTTAAGGTTCCTAAGAGCACGGTGGCCTCCATAATGCTTAAATGAAAGACGTTTGGGAATGACCAGAACCCTTCCTAGCTCTGGCCAGACAGAGCCATCAGAAGAGAAGAGCCTTGTTGGGAAAGGTTAAGAACAACCCAAAGATCGCTGAGCTCCAGAGATGCAGTCAGGAGATGGGAGATAGTCGTAGTTAGTGAACCATCACTGCAGCCCTCCACCAGTCAGGGCTTTATAGCAGAGTGGCCCGATAGAAAACTCTCCTCAGTGCAAGACACAATAAAAAACACCTGAAGGACTCCAAGATGGTGAGAAATTAAGATTCACTGGTCTGATTAGACCAAGAAAGAACTTTTTGGCTTTAATTCCAAGCGGTATGTGGGGAGAAAACCAGGCACTGCTCATCACCTGTCCAATTCAGTCCCAACTGTGAAGCATGGTGGGGGCAGCATCATGCAGTGGGGGTGTTCTTCAGCTGCAGGGACAGGAAGACTGGTTGCAATTTAAGGGAAAGATGAATGCAGCAAGTGCAGGGATATCCTGGATGAAAACCTTCTCCAGAGTGCTCTGAACCTCAGACTGGGCCAAAAATTTTCCTTCCAACAACACGGTGACCCTGAGCACACAGCTAAAATAACGCAGTGGCTTCACAACAACTCTGTGACTGTTCTTGAATGGCCCAGCCAGAGCCCTGAATAAACACAATTGAGCATCTCTGGAAAGACCTAAAATGCTTGTCCACCAACGTTTACCATCGAGCCTGACCGAATTGGAGAAGATCCTCAAATACAGGCGTGTAAAACTTGTTGCATTTTTCCCAAAAAAAAAACCTCATAGCTGTATTAGATTAAAAGGATGCTTCTACCAAATACTGAACAAAGGGTCTGAATACTTGAGACCATGAGATATTTTAGTTTTTCTTTTTTAATAAATCTGTGAAAATGTCATCAATTCTGTGTTTTTCTGTTAATATGGGCTGCTGCCGTGTGCACATTGAGAAAATAAAAGAACATTTAGTAAATGGCTGCAATATAACAAAGAGTGGAAAGAAAAACGAAAATATACAGAGAGAAAAACAAGTGTGTCTGTCACCTGCCGAGTTCGTTTATTTGAATAATTTATTAATTACATTACATTTATCTTTTACCGAAGTTATAAATAATTCACTCTCACTTTCTATCTTCTAACACTGCTGTATATATGACACAGAAGACCTCAGACACATGAAATGGTGTTTTCAGTCTAGTAAATGTAAAACAGAAATATTTTGCAACACTATAAATGATGTCTTGACTGTTACTTTTGATCTTTTTTATGCATTCTTGCTTAGTATAAAAATAAATTGCCCCTAGACAATTTCATTACAGTCTAAACGACTCTAAAAAGAGAGCGAATCTACTCAAAACATCACTTCCTCACAGTTGAGTACCATGTTTCAATAGGGAAAACAAATACAATGGAAGTAAATAGTTAAGAGTTTACAACCTTCTTCAAAATATCTTCTGTGTTCAACTTAATAAAAAAAAAAACTCAAACTGGTATGGACTGATTTCATGCGGCCGCCATTTTAAAAGTGAAAGCGAGGCTGTGGTGGGAAAAAACCCGGAAGTATCACCTGAAGTCACACAGGAGTGTTGTTCGCAATTGGCGTATTGAGTACCTGGCTGTATATCTTATCAGTGAAGAAAAAGTGACACAAATTTATAATTTCACCGCTTTCCGAGTGACCCGAAGATCCGTTCTGAATGAATAGTGAAAACAATAAAGTTATATCGGAAATCATTTTCAGCTAAGGGAAATGGCACTAGTTAGCTAACGTTATCTTCTTCAAACACAAGTTCAACCACAGTGCAACCACAGACAAGCGATCTGCTAATGAATCAATTGATTTTCATGGTTTTAAAAAGCTCCAGTGTCTGTGTATCTTTGTTTGCACTCGATGAAGAGTGGTGAACTGATGACCTTCAGGGCCAATCACAGTCATTTCTGTTGAGCACTGGTGAATGCTATGTAAAATCAGCAGCATTTAAGAATGCGCTCAACCGCGTTTAAATGTTAGCAGGAAATAGACGTTTTTACAATTTTTGTACCGTGACAACACTACAGCGTCCCCACAGTGTTTATGTGGTTCCATGAACTGACACCTAGTAGGACACTCAAGCTTATTACTCTTAAAAAGATTATGATTTTGTTTGATGCCTAATAGGGATTTCCCGATCAGGTTTTTTTGCCCTCGAGTCTGAGTCATTTGATTTTGAGAATCTACCAAAACTCAATCCGATACCCAAAAGCAAAAGAAATCCAGGGTTTTCTACAAAGATGAATGGCAGGTCACTTATTGCGATCATTTCTGCTATCTTGGCTGTGATGTCTTGTGCCTTCGTGTTGTCATGGGGCACTTTTCTCTCCTCTTCAAACTGAACTTCAGTTCGATCGCCTGGGTAAACCTGTTGTATTGTGTCCATTGTTTGTTCCTGAGGTATCTTATCAGGTTTCTTGTTTTAAAATTACCCTTTTCCTTTCCACCACTTGCAATCCCAAAATTATATATCTCATAGTTTGCTATGGCAATGTTGTCGTCATCAACTTTATAATACCTCCAGAACGCAGACATACTCCCGCTTCAAGCGGCTTCCATGTTCTACTTTGTCGGCATTTACCCAATAGCGTCTCTGCAACAAAGTGATGTCATGCCGCATGCGTTGCCGTTTCTGTGTGAAGTGAAGAAAGCGGTCTAACTCTGTGCCTCCGCATAACTATATGTTACAAAATAATGAGAATATGTATTTATATATATGTGAGTCCGGGCGAGGCAGTGGCGCAGTAGGTAGTGCTGTCGCCTCACAGCAAGAAGGTCGCTGGTTCAAATTTCGGTTCAGTTGGTATTTCTGTGTGGAGTTTGCATGTTCTCCCTGCCTTCGCGTGGGTTTCCTCCGGGTGCTCAAGTTTCCCCCACAGTCCAAAGACATGTGGTACAGGTGAATTGGGTAGGCTAAATTGTCCGTAGTGTTTAAGTGTGTGTGTGGATGTTTCCCAGAGATGGGTTGCAGCTGGAAGGGCATCCGCTGCGTAAAAACTTGCTGGATAAGTTGGCGGTTCATTCCGCTGTGGCGACCCCGGATTAATAAAGGGACTTTGCCCACAAGAAAATGAATGAATATTTGAGTCCTGATTGGGAGGTAACGTCCGATTCAGATCCGGTCTGAAACCACATGATCGGGCACGATTTCTGATCACGTGATCGGATCTGGACATCCCTAATGCCTAATATGCTCTTAATAGTTTAAATCAAACTTAACCGAATGATATTAAAGTGATGTTAACACCATATCTGCATTTTGAAATCGCGGCAACGGCATGTTGTTGCAGTGTTTCTTCCCACCGCAGCCTCGCTTTCATGTTTTAAAATGGCAGTCGCTTGAAATAAGCGCATTAGAACAAGTTAAGGGTGAGTAAATGATGGCAAATTTTTCCCTTTTGGGTGAAATGCCTCTTTGAATACTAAAACAGATCCATTTTAATACTTAATTTTTGTCAAATTCAATATTTGCAGCAATCTACGCAGCTAAAGAGGCACACTCACATTCATCCCTGGCTGTATTCATTATTCAGAAAGGAGAGTTTATCCAGGTAGGTCATTGCTTTGCACACTACCAAACTATAATAGGTCTTGAGCATGCCACAGCTCCTCCCCTTCCCCACCCCTAAATCCCGCCAGGCTATGCCCATTTGCCTCACTCCCATCCCGGCAGAGCTGAACAGGAAGTTGTAACAGCAGGGGTTATAGCGAATGTGTCGGTTGCCAGAAAAGCGAGCGCTGTGAGTGGCCACCACACCTGCCCGTCTTGCGCACAGGCCAATCAGAATGTCAGAGGGCAGGGGTAATGACGCATCCTCAGCTGCGACGTAAATTTTTCTCACCACGTCTTGAGATAGAAGGAACGCTGGGCCGGAGCAGTAGTCAGGGAGGTATTTATCGGGATACACCTGATAGGGTAGGTAATGTGGTTTATCGGGGTCTCTCTCAGGTGCGGCCCGATGGATGACCCTACCAAGATAAAGGTCATCTGGGTGCGTTCTCAATCCTAGTAAGTATGACGTAAGCGCGGGAAGGTTTAAATACACCGAATCCTCAGAAAGAATGATAAATCGGGCTTGCGGGCAAAAATGTAGGATCCATTTTAGTGCCATTTTAACTTGGTCCCAATGTCCTCCCTGCCAGTCTCCTCTTGAAATGCCTCCTTCAAACTGCACAATGTCACCATATCGTTCAGACTCCTCTTTTATTACTCCAAGCTCCGCCCCCAAAGGGGATGCGCCGAGGAAAAAAACTGTCCGTACGGCAACATTATGCACTACTGTCTGATTGGCCCATGAGTTTCTCACTGCCTCCCTTTGACTTGAATTTCCAGGTGAACTTAGGACAACTGTGAGGATGAGGAGGTCCAGATGAGGAAGGCAGGGCTCTGTGTTTATGGGATAGAGCTGTGAGGTGTTGACCCTAGGATCAGTCAGGTCTAGCTTGCGTGCCCGTTCTCGGACCTCAAGGACGAATCGGTCAGTGTACGCAGCAGGAGACGACTGCAGGAGAAACTCTTCCACTATGTCACCTCCAAAGAGCAGAGCGTGAAACAAGATGACATTACACAAGAGGAAGCACCACTGATGAGTCTGCAGCCGGAACACACAGATCTGATAGAGAGAGAGAGAGAAATATGACCAGATTATAGCATCAACTGCAGAGGAGAGCAAAATTACAGAACAATTTCTGAACACTTGATTTTTTTCAGAAATAATTTATTTTCACTTGTCATCCCTCAGGACATCACTAGTCTTTCTATTTTCTCACAGGACTTCCCTTGTCTTTCACAAGACATCACTAGTCTCTCTTGTCTCCCACAGAGCATGACTTTCTCAGAACATACCTAGCCTCTCTCTAGTTTTTTGCTAGTTTTCCCAGAACATCATTAGTCTTTTGCAGGACATTACTAGTTTCTCTTGTCTCTCACAGGGCTTCACTTGTCTTTTACTAGTCTTTCTCAGGACATCACTAGTCTCTCACTAGTTTCTCACAGGACTTCATTTGTCTTTCTAGTCTGTCACAAAACATCTCTAGTCTCTTAAAGTATTTTACTAGTCCCTCACTAGTCTTTCTCAGAACATTCCTCTCGCTGGTCTTTTACTAGTTTTTCTCAGGACATCACTAGTCTCTCATAAGTTTTTTCCAGACTTCACTAGTGTTTCACTAGTCTTTCTCAGGACATCACTAGTCTTTTACTAGTCTTTCTCAAGACATCACTAGTCTCTCACTAGTCTTTCTCGAGACTTCACTAGTCTTTAACTAGTCTTTCTCAGGACATCACTGGTCTTTCACGAGTCTTTCTTGTGACATCGCTAGTCTTTCTCAGGACATCACTAGTCACTCACTAGTCTTGCTCAGGTCATCACTAGCCTCTCACTAGTCTTGCTCAGGACATCACTAGTCTCTCATTAGTCTTTCTCGAGACTTCACTAGTCTTTTACTAGTCTTGCTCAGGACATCACTAGTCTCTCACTTGTCTTGCTCAGGACATCACTAGTCTCTCATTAGTCTTTCTCGAGACTTCACTAGTCTTTTACTAGTCTTTCTCAGGACATCACTAGTCTCTCACTAATCTTTCTCAGGACATCACTAGTCTCTCACTAGTCTTTCTCAGGACATCACTAGTCTTTCTCAGGACATCACTAGTCTTTTACTAGTCTTTCTCAAGACATCACTAGTCTCTCACTAGTCTTTCTCGAGACTTCACTAGTCTTTTACTAGTCTTTCTCAGGACATCACTAGTCTCTCACTAATCTTTCTCAGGACATCACTAGTCTCTCACTAGTCTTTCTCAGGACATCACTAGTCTTTCTCAGGACATCACTAGTCTTTTACTAGTCTTTCTCAAGACATCACTAGTCTCTCACTAGTCTTTCTCGAGACTTCACTAGTCTTTAACTAGTCTTTCTCAGGACATCACTGGTCTTTCACGAGTCTTTCTTGTGACATCGCTAGTCTTTCTCAGGACATCACTAGTCACTCACTAGTCTTGCTCAGGTCATCACTAGCCTCTCACTAGTCTTGCTCAGGACATCACTAGTCTCTCATTAGTCTTTCTCGAGACTTCACTAGTCTTTTACTAGTCTTTCTCAGGACATCACTAGTCTCTCACTAGTCTTTCTCAGGACATCACTAGTCTCTCACTAGTCTTTCTCAGGACATCACTAGTCTCTTATTAGTCTTTCTCGAGATTTCACTAGTCTTTTTCAAGACATCACTAGTCTCTCACTAGTCTTTCACTAGTCTTTCTTGAGACTTCCCTAGTCTTTCTCGGGACATCACTAGTCTTTTACTAGTCTTTCTCAAGACATCACTGATCTTTCACTAGTCTTTCTTGAGACTTCACTAGTCTCTCACTAGTCTTTCTCGGTACATCATTAGTCTCTCACTAATCATTCTCGAGACTTCACTAGTCTTTTACTAGTCTTTCTCAGGACATCACTGGTCTTTCACTAGTCTTTGTTATGACATCACTAGTCTTTCTCAGGACATCACTAGTCTGTCACTAGTCTTGCTTAGGACATCACTAGTCTCTCACTAGTCTTGCTCAGGACATCACTAGTCTCTCACTAGTCTTGCTCAGGACATCACTAGTCTCTCACTAGTCTTGCTCAGGACATCACTAGTCTGTCACTATTCTTGCTCAGGACATCACTAGCCTCTCACTAGTCTTGCTCAGGACATCACTAGTCTCTCACTAGTCTTGCTCAGGACATCACTAGTCTCTCATTAGTCTTTCTCGAGACTTCACTATTCTTTTACTAGTCTTTCTCAGGACATCACTAGACTCACTAGTCTTTCTCAGGACATCACTAATCTTTTAGTCTTTCTCGAGACTTCACTAGTCTTTTTCAAGTCATCACTAGTCTCTCACTAGTAATTCTCGAGACTTCACTAGTCTTTCTCAGTACATCACTAGTCTCTCACTAGTCTTTCTCGAGACTTCACTAGTCTTTCTCGGGACATCACTAGTCTTTCTCAGTACATCACTCGTCTCTCACTAGTCTTTCTCAGTACACCACTAGTCTCTCACTAGTCTTTCTCAGTACACCACTAGTCTCTCATTAGTCTTTCTCAGGACATCACTAGTCTTTTTGAGAACATCACAAGACTCTTACTAGTCTATCTCAGAAGACCACGATTCTTTCTTAGGACATCACTGGACTCACTGGTCTTTCGCAGCACATTACTATTCTGTCTTGTTTCTTACTAGTCTCTCTCAGAACTTCACCAGTGTTTTAGGACAACCTTAGTCTCTCTAATATCTCATAGCAGACAACTTTAATTGGTCTTTCACAGGACATCACTGGTTTCTCACTGACATCCCTAGTCACTCAGGACAAGATTAGCCACTCTAATATCTCATAGCCCATAATTAGTCTCTTACTAGTCGCTCACAAGACATCTGTAGTCTTTCAAAGTACATCACTCATCTGTAGTCTCTCACAGAACATCTATAGTCTCTTAGGTTTATCAGTCTTTCACAGACCATATCTAGTCTCTCAGGTCATCTGTAGTCTCTGAAAGTGCATCACTAATCTCTTACTAGTCTTTTACAAGACATCACTTGTCTCTTGCCTGTTTCTCACAGGGCTTCACTTAGTCTTTTACAGCACAACACTAGTTCCCTGACTGTGAGGTTTTTATCCAGAACTTTGTCTCAGCCAGATATTTTCAGTCATGTTGGTTAATGTTTAAGCAGTAAACCAGCACACTAGCTGTCCACATTAAAGACCAGTATACGAACACTGACAGTACAGACCAGAATATATTAGAACTGGTAGAAACAATGATAGCAACATTGGAAAAATATTAACTTACCTTCATGATTTTCAATAATTATGTCAAGATCTTCAAGATTTTGCCTCACTAACCGATGTGTCTGCTGTTCACCTGGCCGCTGTTTCTCGTGTAAACTGACACCAGACAGGTAATGAAATATAACACAGCTCCGTCTCCACTGCGCAGAGATGTCCAGCTTCACCTGCAGTAATAATGGATGATGGCAGGATACATTACTCAACAGCAAAAGCACACACAGACTGATGTTGCTGTCCTTGACCCATACAACTCTGTGCCTACAGAAAGTTTGTAGAAGTTTTGGAAGTACAAAATAAGTCACATGCATTCTTAAAGGAATAGTCCACCCCAAAATAAAATAAGCAATGTCAGAATTTACCCACCCTTCACTTGTTCCAAACCTGTTTGACTTTCTTTCTTTACCTTTGACTTCCATCGTATTTGTTTTTCCTACTATGGAAGTCTTTATTTCAGCTTTCTACAAAATATCATTTATGTGTTCTTTTATTTTGCCTTCAACAATCTAAAGATGGGCGAGATGGTGCCTTAGTGGTTTGCACTCGCCTCACAACAAGAAGGTCACTGGTTCGAGTCCCGGGTGGGCTAGTTGGCATTTCTGTGTGAAGTTTGCATGTTCTCCACGGGTGTTGCTAGGCCTATTTTAGGGGGGCTATATTTCTACTCAACCCCCCTAAAAGTTTCGCGATTAGCTCATAAGCTGTACACTAAATTATCGTCACAGTCCCCTTTAAACTTGATGTGAAGACGGCGGCAGAATTTGTCTCCTTCCTGTCTTTTGTTTTTCATTTGATCAGCAAACTATAGCCGTGGACAGCGAGAGAACGAGGTGTGTGTGTTTATCGATAAATTGTTATAAAATCTGCTTAATTGCAGTTCTTTGATATAAATAACCTTGTATCACCTGTATCCCAATGTAACGGAGGAGCAGTCAGGTTTTCTCGGCGTTCAGCTGTTTCCTCCAGCCAAAAGTGTAACTCTTAACAAACATTTCGCTATTTTTATTTCTAAATGAACTACCAATATTAAACACTTTACAGTTCGTGTGGCATTAACTATACCATAGTCTTACACAGAAAGGATTAAACACAGTGACAGAACCACTAGAGAATGTACTCGTTTAACTGTCACTAAGTCACTGAAAGAGATAGAAATATCAAGAGTTGTCTATTATTAAAAAGTACTTCTTATTTATTATTATAATTCAGATTGTGAAATATGTGAATTAGCCTGTAAGTTTAAAAATACATTTTTATATGTGGGCCATTTAACTAGAAAAGTGGCAGTTTATTTATTTAATACATGAAAACAAAGAATGTACTTAAAAATAAAAGAGGTTTTTACTACAGTAAACAGGTGGGTTGAGCCTATTTGGCTTATTCAGAACTCAAATGGTTGTGCCTGTCTCTGTAATACAATGGAATACTAGTATAGGACCCATATTAAACAAACTTTTAAAATTTTTAAGTCTATTACTTATAAATTACTACTTATAAATATAATATTAAGCTTTATATATATATATATATAAAGTGTTGGCATGGGTTTCCTCCGTGTGCTCTGGTTTCCCACACAAGTACAAACATGTGCGCTATTGGTGAATTGAACAAAGTAAATTGGCCATAGTGTATGTGTGTGAATAAGTGTGTATCGGTGTTTCCCAGTACTGGGTTGCAGCTGGAAGGGCATCCACTGTGTAAAACATATGCTCGATAAGTTGGCAGTTCATTCTGCTGTGGCGACCCCTGATGAATAAAAGGACTAAGCCAAAAAAAAATTAATGAATGAATAAATAATCTAAAGATCTTTACTATCTTTTTGAGCGTTGGAAAGGTAAAATTACATTTTTAAAGTAATTAGAGCCCACATACAAATACTACAGTAATTTATAGTAAATACTGGTGTTTTTTAACCAAACTATAGTAAAGTGTATTATACACTATATATTCTTATCATAAATGTGTTATTGAGTTCTACATCATACTGCGGCATTAACTATAGTGAACTGATAAACTGTTAAGTCCTGTTGTATACTTTTTAGTTTTTACGACAGTAAGCTGGTGTGTTGTAGTATAATATACCCTATAGTCAGGGGTGCCGCTGGCCTAAGCTTTTCACTCATCATAGCACACGTGCTGCTGATGATGTGACAATAAAAGTGATTTGATTTGGCCTCCAAAATCAAATCAAATAGAACCAGGATGAAAGTGTAGGACCAAGTTGGGGGATGAGTTTGTTGGCGGTGATCGCGGATGAAAGTGAAGAATGAGGGGAGGGGGGCATGGGAGATCGCAGATGAAAGTGAAGAGCGGGGGTGGGTGGAGGCAAAAGTTAAAAAATGACTCCGGTTAATAATGACTCTGGGGGCCCCCTAAATGTAGACTCTGGGGGCCCCCTTTGGCGGCGCCCCTGCCTATAGTTATAGAAAACTACAGTGTTGGGTAATTTCATGGTTTCCGCTACATTCATTCTTTCATGGCAGGGCGCCACTCCAAAATTCATCCCACCATGGCTACATTACAGCTTTTCATTCAAAACATTCAGTTGTTTTTTTAAAAATAGTGGGTGATTTCGCACCAAAACGTATTAAAAGGTAAATGAATTATAACAGCGCAAACTTTTCTATCACCGTAGTAGTGCTGTGCGTTGTTAGTTCAACCCTTTAAGGGTTACTTGCTGACTGACTGATTGGCTGACAGACGGGTGCGTGATGCGTGAGGCCAGCAAACACATTGTATAGCCGTTTCACTTCACTTCAGGACGCATTAATGCTGCTCTGCAGGTCTATTGGAAACATTCATAAATGTTCCCAGCTGAAGTAATAAATGTTAAAGACATACTCACTACATAAACGCACGAAATCGCACTTCAGCAGCATTTATTTGAGAGCGCACAAGAAAATCTGTGCTTGAGCAGCGTATACTTAAGGGGGCCTGAAAAAAGTTTTGTGCAAGAGCAGACGAAACCGGCGCCCAAGCAAAGAGATTTGCATGCTCGTATTACATAAATGCGATCTCAACTTGTTATACTGCACTCACGACATTTGTCATTGACATAATGCCACAGGTAGTTGGTAGATCTGTGTAGGCCTGCCGCCACAGCTGGAAAAAAATGATAGAGGAAACACTGAATTTGTTTATATTACTATAGTTGTTTGTGTTGTGTAGTTGTTACCATAGCAACTGTAGAATTACCTCAAAAGATTAAAGTAATCTGGGGCAGCACGGTGATTCAGTGGTTAGCACTGTTGCCTCACAGCAAGAAGGTCGCTGGTTTGAGTTTTCACAGTCCAAAGACGTGGTACAGGTGAACTGAATAAATCAAACTGCCCAAAATGTGTGTGAACCAAACTGTGTGTGAATGAGTGTGTACCCGCTACTGGGTTGCAGCTGGCAGGATATCCACTGTGTAAAACCTGTGCTGGAAAAGTTGGTGGTTCATTCCGCTGTGGCAAGCCCTGATAAATAAAGGGACTAAGCTGAATTAAAATGAATGAATGAAAGATTAAAGTATTCTACTGGTTCAAAACCTCAACAGTATTTACTATAAATCATTATAGTATACTTTCATATATGGTACAACAATCAGGTTCTGGAAGGAAAAGATTACATGTAATGAAGAAACTGATTTGCTAACAGTATAGCCAACTGATCATTTTTTAAAGACAGACCTAAACTATTTTGTTCACAATAATGGTATTTTTGTTATTTAATCATGTTTAAATGAAGCTCAATTATTCACAATAGTATGGATTTTTTTTTTTATAAAGCTCTGAAAATGTTATTGACTGGTGTTTTGGTGCATTTCTTGCTAATATGAAAAAAACAGGTGTGGATTAAATACATGCACAGATATCACATGATTAGTGAAAATTGTCACATGACCAACTTGCACCATGAGGAGATGATGGCTGAAACAAAGCTCCAAACAAAAGGTTAGTGAAGTATTCTAACATCAAGATATGGTATTGATTTTTGGTAAATAACATATTTAGGGTGTCTAATATTAATATATTAATTCACAACTGTTCAGCATTGTTGAATGTGATTATAAACTAACCAATAATGGTGGCCATTGGGATAAGGCAGTGCATTTAGCAACATATACATAAAATTTATATTTAAAATACTCAACTATACAACTAAAATGAAAATATAAAATATAAATTCATAAAAACATTACCAAAAATAACTCTTCTGCAGAAATAAGAGGTAAAGTTGGCTTTATATTCACACATTGGTTCAGTGTCAACATTTGACACGCTCACGATATTGTTTACCATGTTACTTTGAATATTCGATCTGAATATGACTTGTTAACAACATTAGCACTTGTACACAGCTTTAGCACTATTTATTCGACTGTGAACAATGTTGTATTTTGATAGTCATTGGCTGCATTAAGTTAAAGTTGCTTTTATATATAGAGGTAAAGTTGGTTTTATATTTGCATATTCGTTCATTAAGCAGTCTCTATATTGTTTACGATGTAACTTTGAATATTCGATCGGAATAAGCATGCAAGTATGGCTTCTAATCAACAGTAACACTATCTGATTCACTGTGAACTATGCTGTTTTTTGATAGTCATTGGCTGCTAATATGATTTCACTATTTAGAGTTTGCAAATAATACTTTTGTAAAATTATATTATTAAGAGAAAAGTCAGAATGTGCGAATGTAAAACCAACATTACCTCTATCTTTTTATATTCGCACATTCACCCTAGTGAAAAATAAATATGCTTAGTATACTTGGATCCGGACTAATTGTCAGTATATTTTATGTGTATTAATGTTTAGTTAACTTGCAGTGTGACATTTTGAACATATTAATTTTGTGCTAAGTATATTTTAGTTGTAATAAAATTGCACTAAAGTACAATTTTAAGTGTATTTAGTGTACTTTTGTGTGCTAAATTGGAACAACTTTAAGTATATCTATAGTACACTTTAAATAAGCATAACATGTATGCTAATTTCATGCTTGCTTTGTGATATTTAATTTACT